CACTACTATTTCAAACAATTTCTTAGCCGAGATTCCGCCGTGCGAGTGCTGCAGCCCTCTGGGCTCCGAGTCCTCGAGCCGCGGGCCCTGCACGTCGGCCGCTTACAGCCTCGCTTACAACGCCCTCTGCCGGCCACTAACGCCATGGCGCGGCCACCAATACGCCGGGGCCTAATTTACGGCCGCGGGGGTAAAACGGAGAAACATTACCGTGTGCAGTCTGCGTGTGTGTGAATGTGTGTGTGCGTGCGTGATAGATGGCGGCCCGGCGTGTGGAAATGACAGTGTCATGGCGCGCGATTAGGCCGGACAACACGAAGGACCCGCGAGGGAATTATCATTTATCCTGGCGGAGGCGCAGCAGCAGCACGTGCTCGAGAAGGAGAAAGAGGAGGAGGAGAAGAAGAAGAAGAGAAGAAGAACGAGTTGACAAATGTGGAGTTCAGGGACACACGCCAGGGCAGCCAGGGCCACTCGCGTCCTTGAGTTGCAGGCCGGTGAACAGTAGCAGAGGCGGCAATGACACTGCCCCCCCTCCCCCGCCACGCCGCTTGGCTCGCCTCACGTCGGCGTCTCGCTACGGTCTGCCTCCCTCAACTCCCCCTCCGCGCCCCACCGCTGCCACTACACTGTTACCGATTCTGTCTTTGACATTCCTGCAGGGCGGACTGCTGCACAGCCACCTGACTCCGAAGAAGAGTTTCGTCGCCCTGTCTTCGTCGCACTCATGGGGTGTGCCGCAGACAGTGTGAGAGAGACAGAGCGACGAGGCGATCCTTGGGAACGCGTCGCGTCATCGGGGCGTGGAAATCGAAGCGATGGGGACGTTAAGTGTCTCCCTGCGGCACCGATGGCCGAGAGCGTTGAGGCACCGACTACCAACTCTGGGGACCGGCGTTCGAAACCCGGCATTTTCTTCCCATTTCTGTTTCCACCCGAAGGCTCCCCGAGTGTGAACGCGAGGCGTGGAAAGGCAGTCGCGGTTGACGCCCTGGAAGTCTGAATCGCGGCGCGAGTTAATTGAAACCTCGAAATAACGACTGCCATTCATTCAGTCACGCAACGCGCCTTACATTTATTTTTTGTTTGCCTTTCTTTTTTAGCTGCGTTGCGTCTGGCCGCCAAGCTTCCACTTTTTTCGCCATTCCCACAGCAAAAGTCGCACTACTGCAAACTAGTGCGCATGCGCACATCCAAACACTTTCTTTTTCATAAACCTCGCCGCTTCTTTTGTCTTGTTATGTAGATTTCCCAGACGGCCACTCGCTGGTGCTCAGCCGGCAACAATGAGTCGGGCCCCGCCCCGCCCCGCCCCGCCTTGCTTCTTGGGTGCATACGCTCCTCGTGAGGGCGGACGAGGGATAGGGGGCGGGGGGAGGGGGTGGGGGCGCAGTGAAGCGAGCATCGCACGCCACGGCCTTGGGGCCTTCCCTTGGACGCCCTCGCCTTATTTTAGCCTGGGACGGGGGGCTGTGCACCTTTCACATCGAGGAAACTACAGACAGACAGACGTAGACAGACTTTCCAGACACGATACAGACACACAGTCAAACATACGTCTAGGCAATCAGACAGAGACAGACAGACAGACAGACAGACAGACAGGAGAGGACCGTCCCGTTAGCGGCCCATCCCGGAAGCTGACATCTTTCTCGCCGCTTGGCCGCTTCATTTCCATGACAACAGGGCTGCAGCGGATCCAGCAGTGCATGGCAGTGGCGCCGCGCGGCCAATAGATAGCCTGGTCGTTATCGGCACCGATAATCCGCCGGCCAACGTGTGTATGTGTGAGTGTGTTTGCAGTAGCGGGCCTGTTACCGCGCGTCGGTTGTGGATGTTCCCGCAAACCGCGAAATGTATTCCTGCCATGCTAGTCTAGTGTGACTCACACCTGCCCCCCTCCCCCTCCACTTCCCTCCTCCCCGCCACTAGGCTGCTGCGCATGGATAGCGGGTAATACTTGTTTGAATCTTGTTCTCCCCTCATCATACTGTTTGCCTGCACCTTCGCCTGGCTCTAACCACCTGTGAACTTTGTCATTAAACCGCGCCGTTCCGTCCGTCGGTCCCTCCGTCACTCCGTCACTGCTTCACCCCGTCGCGGCGGCACGCCGTCTCGAAAATCCAGTTCCAGCAAACCGCGAGTCAGTCGGACTCACCGCCGCGTTTTCTGCTCCGTTTCCTTGACGCGAGAGGGATTTTGACCGCTGCTGTTGTCTTCCTCCTGGCCGGGCCGTTACGCCATTTACGGACGTTTCCATGCATGCGCGTGCACATGCATCACTCTGCTCTCCGCGGTATGGGAAATTCATTCGCGGAGTCCCACACGCCAAACGGTCAGCCTGGCGGCATACGGCTGGCCTGCACTGGCGCACAAAAGAAATGGATGCCCGCAATAGTTATAACGAGACTGCCGCGCCCCGGCTGTGCCCCCACCCCCTTTTTTCTCTCGTCAACGCGAAACAATCGCAAAAATGGTCGCACAGTCGACAGCCGCTGTCTCGCTCGCACTCGTGGGGTGCCCCGTCAGGGTGCGAGGGGGACAGCGCGACGAGGGCACTGTTCGGAAGCAGCCCGCAGAGGGCCGCACCGTGGGTAGAGGCAACAATCACACTACACTCGAACACTCGGAGCGGGCCGCACATACCGTACGCCGGCCCTACAGTGCACTATCAGCCGGACGGCAGGCCGACTGCAGCGCCATCTCGCGCCAACTTTATTGTTGCTCGCCCCCTTGAACCAGATTCGCTGTCGGTCACGGGTTCGATTCCCGGCGGCGGCGTCCCACGGCCGCGCGGTTTGTGTGGCGAAGCGGACGGCAGAGCGATGCCGAACAAGTCTCTCTAGCACTTGGTGGTAAGGTGCGAGATAGACAGAGACGCTGCTGCGCAAACATTGTCCCCGACACTCGCGACGGGTTCATCAGTCTGCCGAGAGGTAGCTGTGTGCTCGGTACGCACGCACTAAGAAGTGAGTTCTTACAGACTGCTCGTACAGTCAACAAAACTATTTTTTCACCTGCTTGTTTCGATTTTAACGGTACGACGATAAGCACGCAGTTTGTAAAGTGGCCAACAGCGCCGCGCCGCTTGCCGCTCTGCTCGTGTATGAACGGCCGTTTTTAGCCTAGATCGCCAACGTCGTGCGGAACGGGAGAGAAAATGAATCCAGTTTGTTGGCGGGGTATCCATGGGCGGCTCCCTACCCACGGCACGGCGCGGCACGGAGGACCACGATGCACTCCGCCGGAAACGCCTCGCCACGCCGCCGGGTTGGCCCGCCTCAGATGTTATACGCTATTACGTTGGCGCGCAACGCACGGCGGCAGCGGCACGACGAAAAAAAAACTCGAAAAAACAAACAAAAACAAAATGTAAACTGAAGAAAATCGAAGTGGCAAGACAGCGCAAGTGGACGGGGTGGCTCTGAGCGCCTGGCGGGTAGGCAACTCAGACGCAGGGGTGTGTGGAGCAGACTGGGGCTGCCTACCTGCCGGGCGGCCCGGACGACCCGCGGCGGAAACCGTCCCGACAACGGCAGCGACAACGACCCTCGCCATGAATTGGCCGACCACTCGGCGGATTCCTGGTCGTCAGGACTTCACGCGGCGGGCATCGCTTTTGTCCATTTTCGGCCCCGTCCGTCGTAAGGGCTCGATAACGCCATCGATTTTATCGTTCCAGCTACGCGTCGCCGTGTGGACAAACACTGCGCTACCGGATCGATTGGAGAAGGGGAAAAAGAGAGAAAGATAGAAAAACGAGAGCCTCCGACATTCCTGGGCATCCTCTTTGTCGTTCGGCTGGCGCCGTGTTACAGTCGCACTCGTGTCTGCTCGCGCCGGAACGGTTGCCGCGCGTAAAAATAAGAACAAAATCAAATAAAAAGCTGGACGCGCGGCACGACCTGGAAAGAGCGACAAGAAGCAGATGGCGAACGGCTTTCGAACGACGGCGCTTTCCTATCGTAATCCTATCTATGTAGGCTGCCGTTGCCGCGGCGGCTTATTGCTCGGAAGGGAAACGCTTCAAACGCATCAAGCCGAGCGAAGGCGCGCACTTTCGCTGTCACCTGTTTCGTCTCGTTTCGTCCGTTAGACGTAATTCAGCCGTACGGTCCGGGCAGAGCCGAGCCGGGGCAGTAACAGAGTAACAGTGCGGTGGATGGCAGATGGCGGCCGTAGAGCCTCCTACATTCGCCCCGCCGGCTGCCAGGCTGTCGAATCAGCGCCACCTCCACGTGGACGCCGAGCTGGCCGAGCACGCCGTCGTCGTCTCCTCCACTGGCACTGCCTGCGCGCACTGGCCGCGGCGAGCTCAGAGGGAAAGCCGGCAAATCGGCAAATCGGTTCGGTTGGTTCCGGCCGCGAAAACGATCGCCATCATTGTCTTTCGAGGAACAATAATTCGCGCGCACTCCTCCTTCTTCTCTCTCTTCTTCTCCTTCGTCGTCGCCCTTTCCCCGGTCGTCGTAAAGCCCCGGCAGCGCGACCGCCCCCCTTTCCCCTTTCACAGTGCCGGCAACACAACAGCACTCAAACTAGTGCCGCACGGGCGACGCCCACGACCCGTGCTCCAATTACAGTCCCCGAGAGTCAAGGACAAGCCCAGCCCTTCACGGCGTGGACTCCTTCGGCACCTTGGTGCATCCCTCGCTGCCCTTCTTCCTCACGTCGACTGCGGAGACTTCAACGCGGGCGTGTAGGCCTGCGTTCGGTGACAACACTTTCAATTTTCAGTTGACTGTCTCGGAAACGCTTGCATATGCTTCTGTAAAATTTAATTGCTTTTTCTTCAGATTTAAAAAATTAGGTTTTGCTATTATCAGGTTATTTAAAACAATTTTCAAGGTTTTGTTTCAATTTTTGGTTATTAACACTGCACGTTTGACACGGGTGCTTTTTGTGGACCTGTATGCCGTGAAACTGAAACCAAATCCGATGCGGGCGTGAGCCAGTCCGCCGAACTGAAACTCGATGACCGGCCGGACTACTCTACTCACCCGAGGGCTGGGCCGCGACCCGCTCCGCCTGGTGCACCACGACCGCGACCGCGATGGCCAGCACGGACCACAGCGCACCGATCAGCGCCTCCTGGAACCGAGAGAGACAAGAAACGCGGAGTGAGACGCAGAATGTGACGGGGCAGGGACAGCCCCGCGGCGTGCCGCCAGCGCCGCCAGCGCCAACCTCAGGCGACTTTTATTATTTTCGATCGTTTCGTTTCGTTTCGTCCGGATCGTTTGATGATCGTTTTATAAGCCATCATCGCCGCATCAGCTGATCCGGCCATCGCATCTTGTTCTTGTCGGTTCCCGCTGCAGCCGAGCGAGTGCGAAGAATCGTTTCGTCGCTCTGCCTCTGTCGTACTCGCGGAGCTCTCCACAAGGGTGCGAGAGAGACAGAACGACAGACCGCTCTTCTGAATCGCTCGGCAGCACGCGGAGCGCCGGGGCGAGAAAGTCGTTAACCGCGCACTGTAAAAAAACAACAGCAGCAGAGAATGCATTTTCTAATCAGGAGGGGGGAGGGGGTTTGTCGCCTGCTTGTCGCATCTGCTGTAAAACAAAGACTCGTCGAGCCTAGCCGAGGCGGTGGCGGGGGCCGGGAGGGGCAGAGATGATCCATGTCGTCTCGAGCGGGCGAGACTCACCGCGGCCGCCGCGTGCACGCCGTCCAGGCCGTCCACGCCATCGTCAAGAAGGACGAGACAACGGTGCTTTCATGTCGGCATGGGGGGTCCGCACGTCCATCCTGCACTGTACTGCACACCACGCGGCCCGAGCGGCCCCTAGGGGTGCGAGAGAGAAGGAGGGCAGGCCTCATTCCTGTTGTTGTGATGCGTGGGTGGGAGCGAGAGGGGAGGTGTCCCCGCGTGCTCGGCACGTCGTCACGTTTACGCGGCGAAACGCGCACATTCGCATTGCGATTGGCGGCGCCGCGACGCCGCGCTTAGCACGTTATTGCAGTTCGCGGCGTAGGCCTAACGGACTCGCAGCTTTCAAATGACTGATTGATCCCCCCTCCACTCTCTGTCTTCTTTATAGAGGATGAAAAATTCAGCGCGTGGCGTGGCGTGGGGAGACCTTTACCCTTTCCTGCACCTCCTCTGCTGCCACGGTCCTCGTGTCATTTCAGCCTGGCTGCTGCTCTGTCTCTTTCTCTCTCTAGCACTCACGGGAGTTCCCTATAGGGGTGCGAGAAGGACAGAGCGACGGAGCACCAGTGTCCCGGGAGCTGCCTCGCAAACAACGAGGTACAAATAAACAGACCGATGCAGTAATGAATGTAGTCGGATGGACCGCATTCTTCCCATTCTCTGCCGGACGGGACGGGGACGCCGTTCAGGGAACCTTTCTCCCTCAAATGCACACAGAGACACACACGCAAAGACACACGCACACACTGTCGTGCAGTCAGACGCGCGCGGTTGCACACATGCACACACGCTTGTCTGTCGTGGTGGCGGGTCCTGCTCCTTTTTTACCCCTTAGAGCTGTCGCTCCGTGTTCGCTCCTCTTCTGCATCTCCTGGAGGAATACACATACTCGCGACCCCTTCCCCCGCCCCGCCCCGCCGCGCCCCGCCGCTGCACGCCCCGCCCCAGCGATTAGCGCGCGGGGGCCGGGTTACACGACGCGCCCCGCCCCGCCCCGCCCGGTCGGCAAACACCTAAACAGTGCTAGCAGAGTCACGATCTGCTGTACGACCCGTGGTGAACGCGGCCAACACAGTGACCACCGGGTCAGCGAGGCAGGGCCCTGCAGGGCGGCCCCGACCCGCCCCGACCCGACACTGCACTTAATGGAAAATTGCGACGCCCTGCGCGGCGCTTGCCGGGCGGCCGAAGGGTCGCTCTGTCTTTCTCGCACCCCTGCGGGACGCCCATGAGTGCGAGAGAGACAGAGCGACGGAATCGCTCGGATGGGAACTGTGTGAACGCGGCTGCGGAAACAAAACAGGCGCCTGTACGAACAGAAGAACGAAGCCGTGCGACGAATCGTTCCTTCGGAATCGGGCGGCAGTGTACCTACCTGGAGGTCACAGAGGGGCCGCCGCTCGCCTCCCAGTGACCCGTGAGTTCTCAATTCCCTCCCTTTCTGCAGTCGTGCGCCTTCGCCGAAACACGATGCACGACTGCGTTTTTTCGTGTTTCTTTTTCGACTGTGTCGGCCACTCCTCTGTAACGAGGGCCGATTCCACTCGGCACCTCGGCACGCGGGCCGCGCGGTGCAGCAGGCTCGTTCCGAAACAGCGCTCTGTCTCTCTCGCACTCGCGGGGCGTTCCGCAGCGGTGCGAGAGAGACGGGGCGACCGTCAAGGAATCAGTCTGCAGGCGCGCGGTGCAGGCGGGGGGCCAAGCCTTCACGTGGTTTAATAGGGGCTTAGGTGATGCGCCGATCTTTTCACGCCGCGCCTCTCGTCAAGGCGGGGCGTGGCGGGGCGGGGCGGGGCGGGGCGGGGCGTGGCACTACTGGAGGCCAGCCGTGGTTCCAGGATCCAGCTGCACCCACCAAAGTCTCGCGCCTGCCGCCAGGCAACTCCGTGCTCCAAGGCTCTAGCAGCCTGAAGCCTCCAGCAGCCTCCAGGTTTTTAGTATGCATCTCGCATCCATCCAGACTCCAGGACTACCACTCCAGGAGTAACATTCTGCGACTCCAACACGACGGACCCCTAGAACCCAAACGGCAAAGCCCGCACTCCAAAATGAAACTCGGACAGCACAGTGTAGCACTCGCTGCTCCGCGGGTGTCCGACAGAAATCAGCAGCCGCGAGTACGCCGGTAGTTGGCAGCGCACACCTCGGCGGCGCAGGCTGCGGCGGCCCGATCGGTAATCAGACACGCTCACGATCGGCGTGGCGCGGCGCGGCGCGGAGGGGTCGGCTCGGGTCGGGCATTGCGGATTTCAGTGGCGAGTTCATGATGGCTGTGACGTTTCACGGAGGGAGATTCGCGATAACGACCAGAGCACTGATGAGCAAGTTGGTAATGCCGCGTTGTAAAATTCGCAGTGCGAGGCGGGAGGCGCGGCTGCTCAAGTAGTCCGTACACTGCGCACCGCGCACTGCGACGCCCTCGCTCGACAGTCGCCGCCCCCGAGACCGTCTCGGCCTCGGCGTCGCCGCGTCCGTGGGCACTTAGGTGCCACTTCATGACGGCTGGGCTCCATGAGGCGAGGCACGACACGCCGCGGCAAAAGCTTCACACCCTGGAAAGTGTGTCAGCGTAATCCGCGTGGGCCTGCCTCACTCAACCCCCCGTCCGCGTGTGTGTTTTCTCCCGTGTGCGTGCGTGTGGTGGCAGAATGAGAGCTTCTTGAACCCTCCGCACCGCAGCAGTGACCCGCTCGGCCCCGCGGAGGTACGCCAAGTACGGTACCGTACCGACAACAGGAGCGCGCCGCGCGATGCTGCCCCACGAGTAGCAGCAGAGGGGGTGGGGGAGGGAAGAAGACCCCGCGGACGGGCTAACCACAGAAGAGGACGGGCAGCCGACATACAGCAGCGCGGACATGACGAGCGCGGCATGCAAACACACACGGACACATGCACGCACACAGAGGAAAATCACGTACCGCCACCACTACACGCACACGGTCCGCGTGCGCGCGTGGTCCCGCTGACATATGACTGACACGAGCATATCACGGGCGTGAGGTCATGTGCGTGTGTGTGTGTCTGTGTGTCTGTGTGCGAATGTGCATGTCCACACGCACGCACGCGGGATGGCGTGTTGCACGGTGCACCCTCTACCGTTACCGCCATACGGGCCTGACGCGTCATTACACGCCAATAAGGTCCCGCGGCCCTTTGACACTACCACACGCACACACCACCACGACACACACACACACGCTGACACGCACGCATGGCGGCACCCTTTGCGCGCTGTCCGCGCCATGTCGCCGCGCGTCATCGTGGCCCTCACCGTGGCGGTCGTCGCCGTCCTCCCGGTGGAATGGGAAAAGGAACAAGAGGCGTCTCTCTGTCGACGGGCCGGATCGCTGGCGCAAATTTTTGGCGCGAAAGAAAGTAGAGAGACAGCGTTGCTCATCACTGGCGGCGACGCTTGTCTCGGCGACGACGCGGCACGGCACGGCGGCGCGGCGTCGCGTGGCGGTCGAAAGTGTGTCCCGCGCTGGTTCACATCCTTTTCACTCTTCCACCTTAAAAGCCACTTTATCGCCCCGCGGACCGCCCACGGAAGGCGAGTCATCGCGATAATTGCAAGAAAACAACAACAAAAGTCGCCTCAAAATGAGTCACCATTGACAACTTTTATTGCTGTTCTGGCGCTTTTTGGAACTTGTCACCGCGAGGCTGGCGCGTGTCGCGGGACTCTCTGGCTCGTCCGCCAGTCCGGCAGGCGATTGAAACGTCTGGCTGCCGTGCTGCCGTGCTGCCGTCGTCGTCGTCGTCGTCGTCCTCCGCGGCCAACTTGGCACCGCGGCCGCATCTCCTTACGCCCCTGGCCCGTCATGCCGAGAGTCGTCGCTCTGTCTCTCTCGCACCTCTAGGGAACGCCCCGCGAGTGCGAGAGAGACAGCCTGCCGCCCCGCGGCCCAATTACCCAGTCGGCATGGCGGCATGGCGGCGAGGCGCAGGTGGTGCCAAGCGGTCCTTTTAGTGGCGGGGCGGGGCGGCTTGGCGTAGCTTGGCGCGCTGGCCTGCATCCGGGGCGCCGCAAAGCAGTGCAGGCGGTGCATCCCTTGCCACGCCTTGCTAGCTGGTCGTCAAGCCCCAGTCGGCCACGCGGCCCCGCCGCAGAGCAGAGCATTCCACTGATAGCGCCGCTGTCTCGAGGCGCCTCGCTGCGCACCTGTCCTGTCCAACCTGCGGCCTGACGCAGAGCTCCCTCTCTCTCGCACTCACGGGGCGTCGCTGCGGGTGCGAGAGAGACCGAGCTGGATCTGCATCGGCGAGGAGGCCATGACTGTCCTGTCGCCGAGTGTCCGCGACCACCGCGCTGACCTGGAAAGCACGCCGCGACGCCGCGACGCCGCGCCAAAGCCACAGGGAACAGGGAACGCCACGCCGGCCGCTGATGGACTTGAAATATGCCGAGATGGCGAGGCATGGCGCGGCTCAATCT